CACCAAAAAAAAACCATTGATAAAAAAATTCCCTCCGAGCATATTTTAAAGAATGTTGGTTTCTTCATTTTCATTATTTTGATGAGCAATGTTTCACATTATATATAGATCTATGTGTATGGCTTCAGAAGAAAAATAGAACAAAATTTAATGATTTTGGCAATAGTATGAGAATCAAGTAATGCAATATATAGATCTATAAGTAAATAGGTCACTGTTTCAAGGTTAAATCGATTTTGTCATTTCCTTGTTTTATTGGTTGTAAAAATGAAAGCATGCCTAAATTGATTGCAAATCTATTTACAAGTTAACTTGCAAAATATTTTTTTAAAGACAATATTTGATCTTTCCATTATCTTTGATGTATAATATGCTTGTGTGACGATATAGAAAGAAAAGCTGCTTGTCTTGAATTTTGAAATATATATCTAGGCCGATATATATGGGCAATTTTTATTTACATTATTAATTGATAGATCATGCTGGCGGTTACAGGTCTAATGCTTTGTCACTTTTTAAAGGACTTGGAGGTTTGATTTCTTTAAGTCTTAAGCCTGTCGAAGTTGACCTACTTATATGAATCGTTTCCATTGCTTTTTCATATTGTAATGCATTGAAGCTTTCTTGTCTGCTGTATCAGGTTGCTTGCGTTGAACCTATGCCATGAGAGGGATTGAAGCACCTGGGCTTCTATAGTTGATAGCCTTGCAGGTGAAAACATGATGATGAACATATTATCTGATTTTTGTTGTTGCGAAAGAGATATTTATTAGTTTTTTCTAGCTGTCGATCTATAAAAGGCCTAATGTTTTTTTCCTTCTCTTTCAGGATTTGAGCTAGCCTTCTGGTTGAATTTGCTGTCTGCAGAGTTTGGGGAACAAAGGGCTTTTTATCACATTTGCCCAAACCTTGTGAAATATCTGGTACAGTACCTGTAATCCTTTTTATATCCGTAGGCGTGAATCACCTTTAAATAGTTTCCTTTTAAATGTAAGATTGAGAGTTTACGTCTTCTAAGCCATGCCTTTGTCCCTTAATCCTCTACTTGAAAGAGCAATGCAAAGTGAAGTGAGACATCACCCAAGTAAGCTGACATGAGTTAAAAACATAATCTTTATAATATATATATATAAACTCTGACACTTTGATGCCTAGTATTAAATTAAAGATTTTCCCTTCTGTACTATTTTTTTTTGTATTTTCTGAATGTGAACACACACTTTGCTGTTTGATGGGATCTGAATATTGAAATTTAATTGCGTAACTTTATTCCAGTTTATAGTCACTCAAGTTTTCTTAATGAGAATGAAATTCTGAGGTGTCCTTCTTTTAAAAGAAGTAGATGTGTGTAAGCAAGGTTATCCAAATGTAAACACAACTAGATAAAAGTCTGTGTCCGGTCACGGAGAGTTATGTCAAACGTTTTAATGTATTCCTCGTGTCGTTACAGCTTGACATTGTGAAGGGCTGGCTTAATATACCACCTGCTGCTAATGTGAAACTAAGCTCTGTCTTAGATTGAAGAACCAGGATACAGGCCAAGTGATAAACACCTCACTCTGACTGGCAGTAAAGTCAAATGCTGCCAGGTCAGTCTGAAGTTTTCGCGAAGCTTAGAGGCTAAGAAGTACACACAAGTTTTTTTTACTATTTAGATATAACACCCCTCCCC